CAGGGATATTAATTCCATCAGGTCAGAAAGGTTTCATAACTAAATACCTGGCAATCTAGAAAATCAAAAAGAACGTTGCAGCCTAAGATCCTGATTTCATCTGTTCGGGTTTGTTCTAGAAGAGTTCGAATAATCTCTAACAAACTACCAGCAAAAAGAGGCCTGCAAAATTAGGAATTGTCATTTGAATATCAACAACTTATATTTCAAATTAAAAGAAGAGGCAATAGCAATCAGCCAATAGAAATCATAGGAACCACAACTTCATTGTATAAGAAAAACTATTACATGGTTTTATATTACCTCAAATTGTAAAATCACCAATGTTATATGAGAAAAAAGGTTTGAAACGAGATCATGTTTTACATCCTTTTCTAGTTCACAAACTTTAGGATATTCAGATCACTGCACAGTCATTGTAAATAATGATAAAAAAGGAAATTGCATAGTAAACATTTCATTATTCAGTGAATTAAGATTGATGTAGTAGTTGAAAGAGTGGGTCATGCTAACAAGTGCCATGATGGCACTGGTTAAAGAGCATTAAATACAGCCAATGAAATGCTTTTAGTTACTTAAATAAATTATTTAATAACTTGTGTGTCTGGTATACTAATACATCTTTTTCCAATAAAAAAAAATTATAATCTTTGTTTCCATGCGTCCTTAAGGCACTAGTTTACATTCATCTAAAAGAAATTATTATCATTGAAGTATCAGTTAGGAGCATATAGAATTTATAAAATCAATGACTGGAACTTTCAATATGTAATTTCATGTGCAAATTTTTGTTCTGGCAAACTACAACTACTATTCATCAAAAGTGAATCTGTGAGATTGATGACAATCTATATCCTGTTAGCAAACTTACATCTGTTCCTTACATGACGATAAGAATTTCTTGTATATGAACAAGACAACTTTCACTGAGCCAAAGGTTTCATAACGCAAATCCTTGTAACATATTTGCTCCAAGTAATCAGTAATCTGCAAGTTTAAATACATTAAAAAAATTGAAGCCAATGGCATTTTCTCCAGCACTAAAGATAACTTCAGCCATAAAATAGTTTTCATCATATTAATCAAATCAAATAGTTTCTCAAGAGAATCATTACTATCTAAATTCTATCCATTTAGTCGTAATTTGTCTTGATTACACAACGTAATTGAACTACAGATGACAGAAAATAAAGACTTTTGAGAATGGCTTTACCTTGGGAATTCTCAGTGGGTTCTTGGAAGCATAGTCACATAGTTTTCCAATTTTTCTGTCATTAAGTTCAGCCTCCTGCCAAGCACGGTATCTATCATGCATAAGATGATGGGTACATAGGGGAAAGAAAAATCACCGAGAGGGGCTCCAAATCAATCAAAATATTTAAATAATATATAATATATACTACAATAGAAAAATTGTCATGAAGAATCTTGATACTGAAAATTCCTATTCAGAGGTCACACTAGACTAGTCACTTAGAGTGGCAATGGTAAACAAATTCAGGGAAATAACAAATTGAATGCAAAATCCAGTTTAAAGCAAAGAAGCATGTTTTAAACAATAAGTACCAGCCTCGGAAGGACACCACCCTGGGAAAGACTAAAAAACAATCTCATATATATTGATGAGTACATTGATGAGTAGCCAAACAAGTATGCATTGAATACTGTTGATTTTCACAGTGAACGTTGGAACAGCCAACGAGTGTTTAATATTTAAGGACACATCAATGTACTGCTATGCAAGGGGAGAGAAAGGGTAATTATAGTTAGCTGTTTACTCACCTGTAAGTAACAAGTAACAAGCAAATCTTGATATCTTAAATGAAATGGCATTACATGAGCTGAAAATGTCACCTGATTGCGTGGGAAAATATCGGCTAGCAACTTCTTGTATCGTTTCACCGGTTGTCTAGAGCTCGCCCGCAGAGAAGGACAGACGCAACACAGGTTGCCACAGACGGGCACAACCCGCCTGGACATAACTCCCATTTTGCTATGGACCCAGAAGAATCTCCACAATATCAATCAATCAACTCTGGAAACTGCCTCCACAATTCACATTCCAGTAACAACAACACAAATTAACCAAGTGTTTATCTAACCGTTGTTCATCAAGGCTCACCACTACAACTTAACTAGAACTCATTCAACTCCATACCGCAAAAATAACAAATTTAGGCCAAAAAAAGCAAAAACAAAACGGATTGAAAAGTAGAAACCAAACAACAACCTACATTGACTTACCCAAAACTCAAACGGTTGCAAAATCAAAGGTCCCCGGATTCTGGTCACGATCTGGATTGAACTCGAACACAAATATTTCAGAAAATTACTCAGGTTACACCTCAGAAAGCTCTAGCTCACGAGTTTCTCAGATTCAATTGAACATCAAATTTGAAGAAATTAAACAAAGAAAAAGCAAAGTAAAATAAATAAAAGTAATGTTCATCTTCTTCTAAAAATAATGGCAATGGGGACAGAGGATGGAACACTCCACCGACATTTTCGTTGTTTTCAGTTGGAAATTATAAATGCTTTAGGAAAACAACGCTTTCATTCCAGCATCAACATGTACTTGCCTACTGTCTAGTTAAAGCAAGAAATGAAACCGATAATAAAAATTTAATTAATAATTGATAGAAAGTGGAAGGGATACGTCACCATTGGCGTGGTTGGGAAGTTGACTGCACGATGACCCCTCTGTTGCGCTTCATCATCATCGTTTACGCGTAAATCATTCAACGCCGTCGCTGTGTATATAAAAAGAAGTTTCTTAAATCTTTCTTTTGTATGAAAAGAGAAAATGATTAATTAAGTCTCAAATTAACCAAATTACATTATTTTATTGATGTTAGAAATTTAAAACGATAATGGAGTTAATATATTTTATTAATTTAATTGAAATCATATTCAATAACTTCATCAATGATTATTGCAGAGGTCTCGTGACAAATGGCATAAAAGAAATACGAAAATATAATACATTTAATATGTTTTCAATTAAAACAATCAACTTATTTTTTGTTATTTTATATTTCTTAACACATAGATATAAATAAAGAATAATAAATAATATAAAAATCAAGTTATTTAGTTGAAAAGGTTAAACAACGAAAATTTAATTAAAAATGTAAATCATTTAAATTGTTAATAAGTTAACAAAATTTAATAAAAATTTAAGACTAAATTCAACAATATAAAACTGTGGAGATGTTTTACTAAAATATATTAAAAATATATTTTTATAAATTTATCATTAGCTTTTCGTAATAATTTTATCTGGAGGCTTAAAAAAATAACTTTTTAATCAGTTGTACACACAATTTATACCACACAGCATGTCCATTAAACTCGTAGATACTTAAAAAAAATGAGTAAATTATTCAATTTGTCATTTTACATGAATAGATATAAATGTTTTAACTCGATAAGCTAATAAATCAATAAAGTAGTACCTATATGATAAAACAACTATGATTTATTAACCTTTTCAAGCAAACTAAATGAACCTAGATTTTCATACACTAAAACTGTTAGCATAATATAATAAATAAATATAATTAAAAATATAACCATAACTATTTATAAATAATTATAAGTGTGAATCTAAATTATATATTAAATATAAATAAGAAAATTGATCTAAGTTATTTAATCACGATGTAAGAAAGAATGACCATAATAAAGACATAATCTTAGTACATTATATATTAATAATCTTCAATATAATAATGAAAATGGTAAAAAATTAAAATAAAAACAACTGTAAAAATCAATTCACATGAAAAAAAACAACACTATAAAAAGTAAAGATGGTAAAAGAATGTATAAAATAAAATTATAAGATTAATATATGTTAATAATGATTGCAAGCACCGAAAAAAGTTCAACGTACCAAATTGGATTGGATTTTGAAAAAGGAATGTTCTTTTTCTTTTTTTCCTTTTATCTTTGTTGACTTCATCTTACATTTTAGCCTGTAAGCCATATTATATGCTGTCTCTCATGTTAACTTTTCCATGTTTTCTAAAAGTTTAAGTCTTTTTATATTTCTAAATATCATTAAAGAAAATCATTATTTTCCTATTAATTCTCTTCTTTGTGTCTTGAAATAGTGATTTTTAGAATTATAAAAGTACACTGTTTCTTTTGGAAGACAGCACCTTACCTTTTGTTATAAAGAAAGGAAAGAAAACAAAAGAAATAGACACTTGTTTCTTAATTATAGACTAATTTTCACTTTTTTTATTCTTTTAAATCAAATTTATCTTTTTTTATTTAGATATTTATAATTAGGAGTGGCAAAAATATTTATAATTGTAGGTATTCTTAAATAAAATGTGAAGTGATAGTTGGCATTTTACATATAGTTTATAAATAAACCAAATATAATATTATACTTACAAAAAATTAAAATTAAAATTTAATTTATATTTTATTAAGTTATTTCTAAAATAATTACTAATACTTTTGAAACCAATATTTAACGAATATAAAATAAGTAAAGTTAATTTTTTTTCCAATAAATACTATCCGTTATTTTTCCAATCGTCATCCTTACTTACTACTCATATATACTCAAATATATAAATTTTTATGTATAAAAATAGATAAAGACGAGATAATTGACCACATTTATACTTATATACGAGATCTTTTACGTATACTTAAATTTATAGTAAATTTTTAATATATTTTATATACATACATAAATTTTAAAATATAACATTTCCCCACAAAATGTCCAGTATACATCACATTAATTTTACCAAAGGCTTATCCATAAATATAAAAAATCAGAAAGCACTAAAATTTATAATTCTACGTTATTTTCTACTACTGTACATTATTATTATTATAATTGTGTTTAAAATTTCTCTGGGCTGACAGATAGGCTAGGCCCATTCCAACTTACCCAAAACGATACCCAGGAAGTGTTGGGCCGGGCAGGCACGGTGCGAAAGAGACCGCGAACNATTGATGACAATCTATATCCTGTTAGCAAACTTACATCTGTTCCTTACATGACGATAAGAATTTCTTGTATATGAACAAGACAACTTTCACTGAGCCAAAGGTTTCATAACGCAAATCCTTGTAACATATTTGCTCCAAGTAATCAGTAATCTGCAAGTTTAAATACATTAAAAAAATTGAAGCCAATGGCATTTTCTCCAGCACTAAAGATAACTTCAGCCATAAAATAGTTTTCATCATATTAATCAAATCAAATAGTTTCTCAAGAGAATCATTACTATCTAAATTCTATCCATTTAGTCGTAATTTGTCTTGATTACACAACGTAATTGAACTACAGATGACAGAAAATAAAGACTTTTGAGAATGGCTTTACCTTGGGAATTCTCAGTGGGTTCTTGGAAGCATAGTCACATAGTTTTCCAATTTTTCTGTCATTAAGTTCAGCCTCCTGCCAAGCACGGTATCTATCATGCATAAGATGATGGGTACATAGGGGAAAGAAAAATCACCGAGAGGGGCTCCAAATCAATCAAAATATTTAAATAATATATAATATATACTACAATAGAAAAATTGTCATGAAGAATCTTGATACTGAAAATTCCTATTCAGAGGTCACACTAGACTAGTCACTTAGAGTGGCAATGGTAAACAAATTCAGGGAAATAACAAATTGAATGCAAAATCCAGTTTAAAGCAAAGAAGCATGTTTTAAACAATAAGTACCAGCCTCGGAAGGACACCACCCTGGGAAAGACTAAAAAACAATCTCATATATATTGATGAGTACATTGATGAGTAGCCAAACAAGTATGCATTGAATACTGTTGATTTTCACAGTGAACGTTGGAACAGCCAACGAGTGTTTAATATTTAAGGACACATCAATGTACTGCTATGCAAGGGGAGAGAAAGGGTAATTATAGTTAGCTGTTTACTCACCTGTAAGTAACAAGTAACAAGCAAATCTTGATATCTTAAATGAAATGGCATTACATGAGCTGAAAATGTCACCTGATTGCGTGGGAAAATATCGGCTAGCAACTTCTTGTATCGTTTCACCGGTTGTCTAGAGCTCGCCCGCAGAGAAGGACAGACGCAACACAGGTTGCCACAGACGGGCACAACCCGCCTGGACATAACTCCCATTTTGCTATGGACCCAGAAGAATCTCCACAATATCAATCAATCAACTCTGGAAACTGCCTCCACAATTCACATTCCAGTAACAACAACACAAATTAACCAAGTGTTTATCTAACCGTTGTTCATCAAGGCTCACCACTACAACTTAACTAGAACTCATTCAACTCCATACCGCAAAAATAACAAATTTAGGCCAAAAAAAGCAAAAACAAAACGGATTGAAAAGTAGAAACCAAACAACAACCTACATTGACTTACCCAAAACTCAAACGGTTGCAAAATCAAAGGTCCCCGGATTCTGGTCACGATCTGGATTGAACTCAAACACAAATATTTCAGAAAATTACTCAGGTTACACCTCAGAAAGCTCTAGCTCACGAGTTTCTCAGATTCAATTGAACATCAAATTTGAAGAAATTAAACAAAGAAAAAGCAAAGTAAAATAAATAAAAGTAATGTTCATCTTCTTCTAAAAATAATGGCAATGGGGACAGAGGATGGAACACTCCACCGACATTTTCGTTGTTTTCAGTTGGAAATTATAAATGCTTTAGGAAAACAACGCTTTCATTCCAGCATCAACATGTACTTGCCTACTGTCTAGTTAAAGCAAGAAATGAAACCGATAATAAAAATTTAATTAATAATTGATAGAAAGTGGAAGGGATACGTCACCATTGGCGTGGTTGGGAAGTTGACTGCACGATGACCCCTCTGTTGCGCTTCATCATCATCGTTTACGCGTAAATCATTCAACGCCGTCGCTGTGTATATAAAAAGAAGTTTCTTAAATCTTTCTTTTGTATGAAAAGAGAAAATGATTAATTAAGTCTCAAATTAACCAAATTACATTATTTTATTGATGTTAGAAATTTAAAACGATAATGGAGTTAATATATTTTATTAATTTAATTGAAATCATATTCAATAACTTCATCAATGATTATTGCAGAGGTCTCGTGACAAATGGCATAAAAGAAATAAGAAAATATAATACATTTAATATGTTTTCAATTAAAACAATCAACTTATTTTTTGTTATTTTATATTTCTTAACACATAGATATAAATAAAGAATAATAAATAATATAAAAATCAAGTTATTTAGTTGAAAAGGTTAAACAACGAAAATTTAATTAAAAATGTAAATCATTTAAATTGTTAATAAGTTAACAAAATTTAATAAAAATTTAAGACTAAATTCAACAATATAAAACTGTGGAGATGTTTTACTAAAATATATTAAAAATATATTTTTATAAATTTATCATTAGCTTTTCGTAATAATTTTATCTGGAGGCTTAAAAAAATAACTTTTTAATCAGTTGTACACACAATTTATACCACACAGCATGTCCATTAAACTCGTAGATACTTAAAAAAAATGAGTAAATTATTCAATTTGTCATTTTACATGAATAAATATAAATGTTTTAACTCGATAAGCTAATAAATCAATAAAGTAGTACCTATATGATAAAACAACTATGATTTATTAACCTTTTCAAGCAAACTAAATGAACCTAGATTTTCATACACTAAAACTGTTAGCATAATATAATAAATAAATATAATTAAAAATATAACCATAACTATTTATAAATAATTATAAGTGTGAATCTAAATTATATATTAAATATAAATAAGAAAATTGATCTAAGTTATTTAATCACGATGTAAGAAAGAATGACCATAATAAAGACATAATCTTAGTACATTATATATTAATAATCTTCAATATAATAATGAAAATGGTAAAAAATTAAAATAAAAACAACTGTAAAAATCAATTCACATGAAAAAAAACAACACTATAAAAAGTAAAGATGGTAAAAGAATGTATAAAATAAAATTATAAGATTAATATATGTTAATAATGATTGCAAGCACCGAAAAAAGTTCAACGTACCAAATTGGATTGGATTTTGAAAAAGGAATGTTCTTTTTCTTTTTTTCCTTTTATCTTTGTTGACTTCATCTTACATTTTAGCCTGTAAGCCATATTATATGCTGTCTCTCATGTTAACTTTTCCATGTTTTCTAAAAGTTTAAGTCTTTTTATATTTCTAAATATCATTAAAGAAAATCATTATTTTCCTATTAATTCTCTTCTTTGTGTCTTGAAATAGTGATTTTTAGAATTATAAAAGTACACTGTTTCTTTTGGAAGACAGCACCTTACCTTTTGTTATAAAGAAAGGAAAGAAAACAAAAGAAATAGACACTTGTTTCTTAATTATAGACTAATTTTCACTTTTTTTATTCTTTTAAATCAAATTTATCTTTTTTTATTTAGATATTTATAATTAGGAGTGGCAAAAATATTTATAATTGTAGGTATTCTTAAATAAAATGTGAAGTGATAGTTGGCATTTTACATATAGTTTATAAATAAACCAAATATAATATTATACTTACAAAAAATTAAAATTAAAATTTAATTTATATTTTATTAAGTTATTTCTAAAATAATTACTAATACTTTTGAAACCAATATTTAACGAATATAAAATAAGTAAAGTTAATTTTTTTTCCAATAAATACAATCCGTTATTTTTCCAATCGTCATCCTTACTTACTACTCATATATAATCAAATATATAAATTTTTATGTATAAAAATAGATAAAGACGAGATAATTGACCACATTTATACTTATATACGAGATCTTTTACGTATACTTAAATTTATAGTAAATTTTTAATATATTTTATATACATACATAAATTTTAAAATATAACATTTCCCCACAAAATGTCCAGTATACATCACATTAATTTTACCAAAGGCTTATCCATAAATATAAAAAATCAGAAAGCACTAAAATTTATAATTCTACGTTATTTTCTACTACTGTACATTATTATTATTATAATTGTGTTTAAAATTTCTCTGGGCTGACAGATAGGCTAGGCCCATTCCAACTTACCCAAAACGATACCCAGGAAGTGTTGGGCCGGGCAGGCACGGTGCGAAAGAGACCGCGAACAGAACAATCAAAATCTGGTATAGAATCTGGGATGGATCGAGGTCAAAGGTGGGAAATTAATTGAAACTGGAACATATCATATGATTCCGTGATGGAAGTGCGTGCATCATCATCATCATCGAGGAGGATTTTGTTGCTTATTCTGTTTATCTTTAGCTTTTCACCAACAATCACTGCAATTAGGAAGGATGTTAGCTTTCAAACCATCCATCCCTGCAAAACCACCGTTCAAGGCAGATACCTCCTTTCAGATGAAAACGGTTGGTCAACAAATTTTTCTAGTTTTAGTTTCTTAATGAACTTATGATATTATTAGTGTTATTGTATTCTACACTATTTACTATCAATGTTATACTTTTGATTGGTATTGATTTACTTTGATTAGTATTTGGTAGGTTATGTGTGTAATGCTTTGTCTGTTAATTCACGCTCTCGTTGCTGCCCTCCGAAGGGGGAGAAATTTTCTTGTCAGTGAGTTTTTCTGTTTCCAAACTCTAACTTGCATTTGAAGGGAACAACTGAACATACAAACAAACACGAACTATGTTGTTAGCCATCTTACGTTGTGACTTTTGTTTCTATTTGCAGTGAATGCAATCTTCTTTCACAATGCTGCAACTCTTATGAATATTGTGTTTCCTGCTGCCTCAATCCTGCTCTGGTAATCCCTTATGAGATATTTCACTTTATTCTGTCTTTCCCCTTTCTGGGGCATCATCTAATTGAACAAAGTGTGGGTCTTTGCATTTTTTTAAACTTAATTGAGCAGACGAGTAAGGAACAAGTGCTGAAGATGAAGGTTGCTAAGCCTGCTACTGCAAGTATGTTTCCTTCTGTCTTTTTACATTCCTATTTTGTTTGGTCGTTGTGTAAATTGTGTTTAGGGCTTTTGATTAACTTGTCTAGACATATGACCTATTTCATACATGTTTGCCCTGATGACCAGTATGTTTTTAGATATATGACTGATTTCGCACGTATTTTCCTTCATGACCTACATGTTTCTGATGAATTTTGTTGCATGTATAATTTTAGTAAGAAACATAAACAGTGAGATTTTCATCTTTCTCTTCCCTCTCCTGATTTGGCTTGGTTTTCCTTCTGCTAACTGGTTCTTAAGTGACCCAAAGTCTCTTATCCGTGTTGATAAATCCCAAATTTATTTATTCTGACAGACGTCATTTTATTTTTTGGCAGGAACTTATACAAGTGTTTTTGACTACTGTGCTGGGAGATGCCGTCATAGTTCCGAGAGTGTGGTGAGTATACTCCTGGATTCCTGTTATATTGTCGTCCTTGAAGTTTTAACTTACTTTGAGAAACTATTTATGGTTATACCTTTAATGTACAAGGTTGCTGATTCTATTAAAAAGGAAGCCCTTTTCATGTGAACTAATTTTTGTCAGACATGATTTAGAAGTTTTTCACATTAATTTTTTTTTAGGCATTTATGATGAAGTTGAGTGTGCTCCCATACGCTTTTACATCAGTATTAGCATAACAATTTATTTGGATCTTGTTTTTGGTTCTTCAACTTTGTTCATTGTTTTCTCTCAATTACAATAGTAAATGTCCCTGATCCCTTTTAGTCTGTTATGTCAGGTTTACCTGGTATAATGACTTTCATTAGACAGGCTAAAATGGATCCTAGTAGTAATTGCTATTTCATACACATTCAAGACTATAGGACCTCATCTCTAGATTTTAAATTTTAGGTGTATGAAGAGCAAAATAGCACCATGGGCAGGCGTTTTGCTTGTCTTTTTACACAGGTCTAATAGAAGAATGTAGATATCTTGGTGTCTAATATTTATATTTCCAAGCTGTTGAATATTTACAAATTACAGTCGATGTTGTCAAAATACTATTTAACTAAACATAATAGCATAGGAGCAATTAATATTGAAAATTCTAACTTTTAAACTAAGTTATACAACTAAGCTAAAAACGTGACTGAATACTATTACACGAGGCTCCACAGATAATTTGTCATGTAGTTTGGTCAAATATAACAAAATATTGTCAGGTTCATAAACCAAACCTAATACATACTGCAAACATAGGAACCTCAAGTATGCCATAAAATCTACCAAGTGAATTGAGGTCAAGACTACATGTAACTTGGGTTTAGTATACTGTTTTTGTCAGTATACGCAACTCATACAAGTTTGACAAAAAAATTGCATGTGGGTTAGTTAGTTTTTTTTTTTAGCTTAAGATCTAAACTTCATTAGAGTCCAAGTGTTAACTCAAGAGCTTGAAAAACTATTTACAATGAGTTGTTAATGTTTCTATCTCTTGTGTAATGTTTCAGGTCCATGAAAATGCTTACATTAGTGACTTCCACCACTGCTTTTCTCTGCCATCGAATTCTTCATGTAAGTCTGCAGAGGAAACTGTCATGTTAGTTAATGGCCAGTAATTATGTTAAGTTCTTAATCATATTTTGTTACCAATACTTTATGATTTTATTCCATATATCCCTATTTAGATGAAATCTGTTCCTTTTCTTGCATTGAAGCAGGGAAAAATAGTACTCTCATAGAAGCCAGACTGAATGGCATCAATGTTGTTGTTGGGAGGTCAGTAATTACTAAATTTCTTTTTTCTTACAAAGACTGACATTTATAATTTCTTGCTGTAGCATAGCAGTTGAACCTATTATCACTTGTTTGACAGGCAAGGTGAATCATGTAATTCTGTTTGCAAATCAAGAGGACAATTATGCGTCCCAAATAAACTTGCCGTGCTTAATAATTGTGACATGTAAGTGATGCACTGAAAATGTGTTCTAAACCAATATTGGTGTGTATGGATGATAATGTATTTCGGTGGTACTGTTTACTCTGTAATTGATCCTCACTGCACAAAATGTCTCATTTTATTAACTTGCATTTTCATCACATATTTAGCTTTCTGGATTTTGTCCTTTTCACACCACGTTTTTTTGTTGCTTTGATGCAAACGTACTTACCAAGTTGCCATGATGTTTTGCACAAAAGCAATATTCAGTGAGAAGGAATATCATGCATGCATGCTGATAATAATTTCTTTCTTTTGATGTTCTGATCTTATCTATTGTTCACGAGTATGTTGGCAGTATTCAGAAATATATGAGCTGCAAGGGGTCTTGCTTGTCAAGTGTTGGATCAGATCAACCAGCTGAAGTTGTTTATGATGCCCCAATGCATCTGGTAATGGTTATGATTTAATAAATACAAACATTCTAGATTCCAGAAACTGATAAATAGTGGTTAGTTAATTGGTAGTTTTTGTTTCCGATATAATTTGGATTAGATGATAGGTGTCTCAATCCCTTACTGGTTTGTAGTTACTAATACTGGGTCCTTTGAAACTGAAATTTCGTTTGAAGTGGCTTGTATTTGTTTTAATGTGTGCACCCTCACAGAACCATTAGTTGGTGGTTTTAATTTCAAAACACCATGTTGAAGGTGGTCGGTGATCATTCATAAGCGTTGAGAATCCTTCTGGCGACTTGTACCTTTATTATTTTCTCTTCAGATGCCACCATAGTAATATGCTGGAGAATCTTTGAATATTAGATGGTCTCCACATTTCCGTAGCTTATATTAAATTAAATTTCTGCTTGATATGCAGTAATCTTACAATGTACCTACATGATCTTTCTTTGAATTGTTCATCCATGGAAATTAGAGCATGTGGACCTTAAAATTTTGTTATATGGAAATATGAGCATGCCGATTAAACGAACGGAGTGTGGATGGCTGAAATATTCAGTTAATTCATGGGAAAAGAAGTTTCAGGACATTGATATTTTATTTGTGTATTTTCAGAATCCAGGATCTTGTTTGTACACTGAAACAGTGTCTATGCTTTCTTGTGATGGTTTACATCAGCACACAAGGAGACTGTGCCCCTGTGCATAGTGTTAGCTGGGTAAGTCTTGCTCTAAATTATGTCTACATTATGTCAAAAAGTAAAGTACCTTTCTTTATAGGTTTTCTATGGAAAGATAAAAATTTCCTCGGAACTAAAGTCAAGTTTGACACTCTCTCTTCTGTAATGCTGAGCTGGTTGGCTAATTTTGTTGGTGTGCAGAAGTGTCTAATTTTCATGTTACTATGCAAACTTTGTTTTTTTTTTTACATCTAAGGTACTGGGCTTCATACTGAAAATTTTGGTTTGGAAGGAGGCGGCGACTCTTGATTTAATGTCACTGACCAAGGAGGCAACTCGTGTACCTCATCAACCTTTTGGAAATTTTATGTACCATTCATCTGAGCTTATGTTGTAAAAATTAGCTCTTTATTATTCCTTCCAAAATTTTGAAAGAACTCTACTTTGTACAGGCTACTTTCCTCTCCTTGAATGGATTATCGAGAGAGGAAATGAGATGACAAAATGTTGTAGTATAAAATTGGTATGTATGGTGAATGTAAAACTTTTAACATGATCAACTAATTATAAATACTGTTTTATGTTTTTAAAGTTAAAATGTCAACTGATTTATCATAAATTGTTGTTATATAAGTGTGAAATACTTTTTACATCTACAATGAATCTTAATATAGACCAATTATGATTCTTTTTCTGAGTGATTGGGCTCATCGAATAAACAATATATGCTAAATTTTTAAATAAGAATAAAGCTATTTTCCTTTATCATTCCAATTTGATTACGGATACAATTGGTGAATAATTCATCTCACACTGTCTTCCCTTCTCTTTGTTGGGACTTTCTCTTCTCTGAACTTCAAAGCTACCTCACAGTAGTATTACACGCAATAACATTATTTTTTATCTGTGATTTTCACCATCATAACAATAACAAGAAATATTTAAAGCTGTGCTCAAGCGCCAATCTGGCTGAAAACTCGAGTAACAACAACGTTAGCAATTGTTGTCATATTTTCGAGTGTAACAGTTAATGCCACACCAGATGAGCTATTACGACCACAGTTGACAACCAAACAAAAACAAATGAACCTTCGGTTCAAGAGTTTGTAAAACGCAGTTAGCCCAATTACAAAGGAAGAATATTTAAAGACTGATAAGATGGAAAATGAAGAAGCGAAAAAAGAGAAGAAAAAACAGTGAAGTGAAGTATCATCCATCTGCAATGGTTGATAAATTAATAATTACTATAAGTCCAAATTAAAGTACATCCTGTGTCCACTCAGAAGCTATAATCCGGTTTAAAGACTCTCTGGGACAATGTCTTTGAAGATGAACTATTATCCTTTGATCCTGCGAGTGCCCCGTTGTCCTTGTTCTCAGCATCATCTTTTCCATCACGTTCTTTGTCAGTATCAACAAAAGCAGGGTGGCTGAGAACGTTATTGAGTAACTGTGTCCCTCTGAGAGCGTTTGTGAGAGGCAAGTGACCCTCTGGGGTATCCTCATTGAGCTCCCAGATGAACTCAGAAGGGAAAGACCTGTAGTTGTACTGCTCCACCTCAGTATCAAGCTTCTTCATCCACCCCACTTTGATGAAGAACTTGGTGAAATCCCCATTGGCCTTCTCCAGTATCTTTTTCTGCACACTGTATCCGAATTTGTTGCCACTGTGCTCCCTCCAAAGGGTGTCAATGGTCAAGAGGTCGCTGCCGGATATGAACTGCACCTCAGAGAAGAACACGTAACCGCGCTTCAGAGCTGCTTCTCCAGCAAGCACGATGAGGAGACGACGGGTCTCTTCATCAGCTAGCTGGAAGTTTTGGGAGGAGAGGTGGTGGCGGAGGAGGTCAAAGGAGGGGCTGGTTTGGGAGGTGGAGGAGGATGAAGAGGGTGTGGTTTGGGAGAGGGAAAAGAAAGTGATATGAGAGTTAGTAGAAAGAGTGTGGTGGGAGAGAGTTAAGGTTGGTGTGGAGGGTTTGAGGAAGAGTGATGTGGGGGGAGGAGTTTCTGAAGGGATGTGGTGGCGTTTGAGGAGGGAATGGTGGTGGATGGAGTAATGGAGAGAGTTTGTGGCCATTTTTGTTTGAGGGTTGAAGAGAAGTGTTTGTGTTTTTGTGTATGTGTTGATGTGATTTGAAGGAGTTTTCTTGATGCAGGTTTGGGTCAGAAGGAAGGGATAAGGAATGTGTGGGGTGGGACTGTGATCAGTTAATCAAAAGCAATATAATACAAGTTTTTGATTGGCTGAATCAGGGTGAGGCTTTATCACACTCTCTGTCTTTCCCTCTCAGCACAATTAATTCCCTTAGCTCATCAAATTCACTTCTTTTCTTTCCTTACAAACCAGTTATATCATATGTGGCACACTACACTCCTTTTCTTTTCTTTTCTCACAAACAACAAAACAAGAAAGACTATGACACATTTCTGGATATTTCTATGTATCTAATTTCAGTTTGCTTTTGTACATTTGAGAAAGAAAAGTTAACATAAAATTTAATGTAGGAATTGTTTTACAAATTGCCATTTCTGTGTCATAATGCATAAACGAATGTATAAATGGAAAAAGAAAATATAAGGATTGAATATGTTTTTAACTTTAAAATTTAGACAGGTAAAATTGAAACTTGTTTATGTTTTAAATATCGTTATATTTTGATTTTTATGCGCAAGACTGTTGTTGGTCGGTTATATATTATTGCTGGGAGACGTTCTTTAAGATATTGGTGTTAAAGTTTACATATTTCGGACAATATTTTTAAGTGGTTTATGGGACGATGGTTCTTTAAGATATGTTCTGAAAATTATATTCCGAAATTTTTGGTTTCGATCTTGTTTTAGAAACTTTGTTCTAAAAATTTTAAAAATCTTATTCCAATTTTGTTTTTCAGAATATTTATTTCGGAAGTTATTTTTCAAAAAGTAAAATATCATTTTAAAAATACGAAGGAGTGTGCGAATAATTTGTACGGGTGCAGGAAGTCAAAGGCTAAGGCTTTCATGCTCCTTTTGTCTGAAGCATTTTTCATGACTGTGGGCTTGGCAATTACTTTCTGCACTCCATAATTTTCTTCCTCTACCCCATCATTTCTGGAATTTATTTTTTCTGAACACAATAAATAACTTTAGAATTTTATTTTATTTTTTTAAGTCAAACACCCTTTTTTTAAAAAGGTAAGCATTTTCAGGAAAAGTTTTAAGGGGTGGAAGGAGAAATTTGATGAGATGGAGGAAGAAATTGCCTAATTGCTTACATGTTTAATGTTGGCATTATCATGTTAATAGTTTTAGCTTACATGCAAGCATTTTATGTTTATTTCACGTAAAACTTAATTTATAATAATATATGATGTGATATTTCTATTTCATATACACATTCTATGTTTATTTTACTCTTTCACAAATTTATATTTTTACCATTTAAAAAGTTTAATATTATAAATATCATCTTTCAAGTGTTTAAAGAAACAAATACTACACATTTAATTTATTTTCAAGTGTCGTTATATTAACAAACATTCAATTTCAGTCTATACAAATATATTTTAAATTGTATAGTAAAAATAAATTCTAAATTCTAAATTCTGCCATTCAAAAATTTAAAATATGAATTTTATAGCACCCTTTTCATTTTCATGAATTTTAGTAAAAAAAAAGAGAGTAATTTTAGCTTTTAACGCAAAAAAAAATCGACATTTCATTGTTTATGTATCACGTAGTTTAAGTTATTAATTTGGTATTAATCTACAAGGTAAGCTGAGTCTACGATCATATATTCTCCCATACACATCCTAGAATTAAGAGAAAGGTTAGAAACGTACTTTCAAATATATTTGTTTATTAGTAAAAAATTATTGAAAATAATAAAAAATTATTGAAAATAATAAAAATTTAGTATGTCTTGAAATCTCCTCAATGTTCTGTACCGTGACTTGTAGTTTTTAAATTGGTTTAATTAATTAAAAAAGATGACATAATTGTGATTTTAACCCTATTCCGTAGTTAATTAACCTCTGTTTTGGATTTAATCAACCAACTTGTGTACAAGTTCAAAAGTGTCGTGGTGCTAACATCAAATTCGAAACTCTATTACTAGTTATTTCCATTATGCAGAGTTTAATTTTGCGTTACAGCATGTGAAAGGGGAACGAAATCAATCACAGCTGGTGCAGATGAATGAAGCCACCAAAGTATTGCTCATCTCTGACCACTCTCACTATATAAGACCCAAATCTCGCCACCTCCATCACTATTTATTCGCTGTTTCATCGTTTTCGAAACCGAAGACTCTCTTCTTCACCGCGCTGATTGAAACCGAATAGGATTCAGCTGAGAATGGGGCACAGTTCGAAGAAGAAGAAGCGCGGAGGCGGGAGCGGTCGCCGGAGCAAGGGGAGAACGCAGTCCAAAGATCACGCTTCTCAATTTGGCGCCGACGATTACGACCAGCTCTCCGAAGAGATAACCGCAGTGTAAGCTTCTTCTCTAGCTCCAACGCGCTTAGCTATCAGCGTGGATTTGAATTTTATGCAGTTCATGTGTTTTATTCGTTAACATGAAATGAATGCACGTGTTGTTGCTTGTTTAGATGCGCTATTTTCCAAGAAGACTGCAAAGTTCTTCCAGGCTCGCCTCCTCGTATAGTTATTAAGCTCAGGTATTTCTTATGATTTTTTTTTTCTCTTCATGTGATATTATGTTAAATAATTTATATGCAAGTCACTCAATAACATTTTGCCTTTTGTCTTATGTTTTACAATGATGGTTCCAGAATCATATCTATCACGCTTTCTTAGTAGTTGACGGTTTATAAAATCTAACGCTAGTGAAGGTGTATAACACTGATATCAGTCCTTGAAACTAGAAGTTTAATGAGTGATGATATTGACAGGTATTTAGCGACCAAGATGACAATGAATGGTTAAGTTTGGGGACTTGAATGAATTCTTAGACTAATTTGAAACTTTCTTGGTATCAGGGACTAATGTGACAACATTATACACTTTTTGGGATCAATAATGGTGGTTTACTCAATTAAACTTTGATAGTGCATACAAAAACTTTGATATATAAATTAATGTTGCTAATAATGATCTCTCTTGTTGTTTGTTGTTTTCTGCATGAAATTGAACAGGCCTTACTCAAAGGACATGGGTTATGAAGATCTAGATGTTTCTGCTGCTCTTGTTGTCAGGTATGTTTAGTTAATGACCCTTACTTTTTTTTGTTAAGGGGATCTTTGTTGCTGACTCGCTGCCAACTCAATCACCATTTCTTTCTCTTTCTTGCTAGGTGCTTGCCTGGGTATCCTTTCAAGTGTCCCAAGCTGCAGATTACACAGGAGAAAGGGTTATCAGAAGCTGATACTGATAAGCTTTTATCTCTCCTCCATGATCAGGTCGAACACTTGTGCTGTTGTTAGCTTTGTGATCATATTTGTGTCAAGGATGAAATTGTGGTTACTCGGGCTTTGATGCTTCTGGTGCTTAAGAGTACTGTAAGCAAATATAGGCAACCATATCTTGGGGTGCCAAAGTATATAGTAAGGGCAGAGGTTACCTAAAGGTGGATTTGCTACTTGTAATATGCAG